ACCCCCCCACCCCGAGTCTGCCCTGGGAAAGAACTTCAAAGCTCTGGCTTTGTTTCCGACCGGCCTGATGGATTGCAATGATCTTTTCCAGTCCTCGCGCACTCCTATGTTTCCACCAAACCATCGACAGCATTCCCCTTTAACGCAACGAGCCCAACTGAAATTCATTTCAGTAATGAATCGCCATGTTATTTTTAGAAGTGCGTTTGACTCCCAACGGGAGCTAATTCCCGTTTAAGTGGAAGTGGGTGGTAGGAAGTATGTAAATAACGGATGAGGCTACAGCTCCTATTTATGGTGAACCTGCTGAGGAGAACCTGCTAATATATTCATCCCACTTAGCAGGGACTGGTGGCTCTGAATGTTAAAGAGCAGTGATGCCGCTTTCAATTATTTCAGAGCACGGGGCTGGTCGCTCAGTTTGAAATAACGGCATTAAGTAGCGTAGTGGTTAGTGCGCTCACCTCGCAGGGTGAAGGACCCAGATCCGATTCCCGGTCGTGGCCAAGCCTTGGACAAGTTTCCTTACTCCGCACCGCTCTGTTTACCTAGCAGCAAGTAAGAACCTGTTGTGGGTCGATTGGCGGATCGCGTTCTGGGGTTAATAATCCTCCTACTCCTCCGCCCCCCCGCCCCTCCAAAAACAAATGTGGTCACTCAATCCACGACTGTTTGTGAGACACTGCTGTGTGCAATTGGCTGTCATGTTTCACCCACAAGATTCAGTCAACCCACTTTATAGTATATTCTGTGAAGCGCTGTGAGATGTCTCAACGACGTGATAAGGCGCTGTATCAAATGCAACGATTATTTATTATTTCATCAGTCGGGACCTTGCAATTGTTTTCTTTTGTCTTAAAATGACTTATTTTTTTTAATTTTTCTCTCTCTTTTCATCACAAAACGATTTTGATTCAAGGGGCCTTTCAATGCTTCCACAGACTGGCATCAAAAAATCTGTAATCGTTTTGATTTCCCTCAATGACTTAATAAGTAAAAGCAATCCGAAGTCCTGCAGTGTTTTGGTTAGAGCACTCGCCTCAGCTATCCTTCAAAGACTACGTTCGTGCCTTGTCCCGTTCCGCATTTCCACACCTCCGCAATATTTCCCCTTCTCCGCCACTGCCTCTCACCGCAAGCCACCGAGACCCCGATCCACGCTTTCATCATGTCCCGGCTTGACTACGCCAACTGCCTGCTCACTGGACTTCCCAACTCTTCCCTCCACAAGCCGCAGATTATTCAGAACACTGCAGCTCGTGTCCTCTCCCGCACCAGGCTCTGGGAACCTCTCACCCCTGTTCTTGCCCGGCCTCACTGGCTCCCCATTCCTCAGAGAATCGAGAACAAAACCCTCGTTCTTACCTTCAAGGCCCTCCATGATCTTGCTCCCCCCACCTCTCCGACCTCATAACCCCATATCAGCCTGTCCGCTCCCTCCTCTCGGAGGCCCCCATCTACTTTCAAGTCCCCTGCACTTCCCGGCCTACCATTGGCAATTGGGCATTCAGTATCTCTGCCCCCACACTCAGGAACTCGCAATCCCTCTGCCTCAGCCCCTCTCTTGCCTCCTTCAAGTCCGGTTTGAAAACCTTCCTCTTCGATCGTGCAAGTTTTGTTACTCCACACGCCTCTGTGTACCTCGCAGTAAGTAGGAACCCGATTATTAGTCGATTGGTGGATCGCTTTACTGGAGGTTAACAATCCCTTCAAAATAAATAAAAATAATTTGGTCACTTCAATCCACGGCTGTTTGTGGGACGCTGCTGTGTGCAATTGGCTGCCGCTTTTCGCCCACAAAATATACAGTCAATTCACTTTGCAGTATATTCTGTGAAGCGCTTTGAGACGTCTTGAAGACGTGATAAGGTGTTATGTCAAATGCAATAACAACAACAAAATTACATTGTAAACCACCTTTCACATTGGGAAAACGTCCAAATGCAAGCATTATTAGGTTTTAATGTGCGAGTCTTCGGTTTGGGCTACAATTTTCTTTGCTGTGAAAATATAAAGCTTTGCACCATATGCAGTGATACTGACCCACACGGACCAGGATGGCCCCAGGCTCAGTCCATGTTCTGTGCTGTGTTAGCTGACCTCAGCTTGGGTGAGAAGTGGCGGGCAGTGACCTAGGAAGGGGAAAAATTAGCTTGCGTTCCTGATTGTTAATTAGTGATCTCCGCCACCCACCTTTCCTGGGTGTTGCTCACCTGTGATGACAACACCAACTACTTGCATTTATATAGCGCTCCTCAAGCAGGGTAGCGACCCAGAGCACTTGAAATGTCCTCTGCAGTCAATTTACCTGCCAACTGTCTCACCTCACAACTGAAGAATGGCACCAAGATCCTCAGCATAAATCAGTTCCTCCATAGAACGGGAGACTGTTACAGCAAAAAAAACGGATCATTCAGCCCATTAAGTCTACTTTTGGTTTCTTTTTCTACACGAGGACAGTGAAGCACTTTGAGACGTCTCGACAACGTGATGAGGCACTATATTAAAATGCAAGGATTATTATCATAATTATTATTATAACCTCATCTAATCCCGCTCACCGACTTGCCTTCTAATGGTTCTGTTTTTTAAACACTTTGCGGAACAGGACAGCTTTTTCTTTCCCCAAAAAACACTCCCTTTCTTATTGCAGAAATCTATTTTTGAAACAGTTCAGTCCCTACATTTCGCTTGTGACCGGATACTTCTCTAAACCTTTACAGTTGCAGATTATGAACTATTGAAAATTGGGTAATGTGAGATTTAATCCCATGGTAACTCTGGGGCAATGAATGGAGAGAGACCTGCTCGACAATATAAACAGATGCTTAGTTTCCATCACCGCGTTAGAAGGAGAACTGAATAAATAGCGGCTTGAGAACAATCCTGGTGGATGCAATAATTATAATAATCCTTGCATTTGATATAACGATTCATAATGTCGTTGAGGTAACTCAAAGCACTTCACAGGATATACTGAGCCAGCAGCCTAATTTATCCTGCTAATGGAAGAAAATTCTTATCATTCACAAGTGAGATGTACACTTATTTTTGTTCCCCACCTCACCATCAGCAGACAGGCTTTCAGACCATCTGCCTCCAATCCCCGAGCCTCCATCCCGGAGTCCCTCCAACTCACCCTCTTCCCTCACCCGTTCAAGGTCCTTCATAACCCCTTCCTCTTTGATAAGTTTTTGGTCATTTTCTTCCTCACCACCCACTCTGCTCCCACCCCCACCAGCTCAGGTGCCGAGCCATTATTGTTAAGCACCTCGGCACATCCTCCTGACGTGAAACGTTCGATATCAACGTAATCTCCAAGCCTTGGCTCTTGCCGACCTGTGCCTAGTACTCTCCAGAATTAGGTGATTACTCTTAAGCATATTGATGGGTTTCCGCATGTGTCAAGACACCCGGTTGATCAAATATATATATATATACATATATAAATTTATATTGTATTACTCTAAGTGGCTGTAGACATTCCAGATAGGAGTATTTTGCAGCTGAGATGCCCTACATTTTGTGTGTGTGTGTGTGTGCAAAGTGGGAGGGTTTAAACAACACATGATTTAATCTGAGCGATTTCTTGCACGAAAGTCAAAGATCTTACTTTACGGAGAGCTGGATATTTGCGCGAGGAAAAGTTCATCACCTGTTTATAAAAGTTTTTGTTGGGTGTGTGTGTGTGTGTGATATGTGCTGGGGCGGTGGGAGTGGGGGGGGGGGGGGGGGGTTGCCTCCTAAATGTATGCAGAGGCCTGAAAGGGGGGCACACACACTCACAAACACACACTCACTGGCTATGGGTTTGCCTGTGTTATTTTGGAGTGTGAGTTAGTTGGCTGAGGAGGGGGGGAGGGGTTTCGATCTGCTTCTCTCTCTCTCTTTCTCTCTCACCAAGTACATCCCACGAACAAAGGCAACCAATGTTGACCAGGCACTGGAGGGTTGGAAAAGGGGGTGGTTGAGGTGGCGGTGGTGGTGGGGGGGGGGGGAAATATAATAGTGCCCTAAAAGTTTGCATTAACTTGTGAAAGTGCAACAAACTTATTGCGGACTGGAGTTGGTGGTCAACACAACCGTGCGAACAGTTCCAAGAAGGGAGTGAGCCAGAAAAAAGAGAGAGAGAGAGAGAAGGAGGAGGAGTGGAGGGGGGGAAAAAATCTCGACTTGGTTTCGAATTACATTCTTTATCTGTCAGTTTCTCTTGCTTTTTCTCTCCCTCTCTCTTGTGGAGTGTGTGTGTGTGTATATAGGGAGAAAGGAGTGGGAGTACGTTGGCGTGGTGGCTGAGAAAGAGAGAGAGTGTGAGAGTGAGTGAGAGAGAGAGAGAGAGAGAGGAGGAAAAATACATATTGCATTTTTTGGGGGGAGGAGGTGGGGGGGTGGCGGGAGGAGGTTGGGAGAGAGAGAGAAGGAAATATAGGTGTATTATAATCCTTGCATTTGATTATTCAGGATGTTTTAAAGGAAAAACAAGAGATTGCGAAATATATAAATAGATATATATAGAGAAAGATATATATATATATATAGAGAGAGAGAGAGAGAGAGATATATATATGTGTGTATGTTGCTGGTGAGTTCAAGTTGGGGAGAGGGTGGGAGAGTGGATGCAGAGCCTGAAGATGCAGTGACATTGACTCGAGATGGAATTTGTCGCAACTTCGGACACTGACCCATCGCTTCTCACCCACCAAACCCCGGGCGGACCGTCGGATGAAGTTTCGGGAAGTTTGGCCACTAAGATTTCCTCTGCGTTGGAGTCAGAGAGTGGGGCAGCAGCAGGAGGAGGAGAAGGAGAAGGAGGAGAAGAAGGAGGAGAAGAGAAAGAGAAAAAAGAAGAAAAGGCAGCAGCAGCAGCAGGGGGAAAAGGGGAGAAAAGAGAAAGGGGAAAGAGAGAGTGAGGGAGAAGAGAAAGAGAGAGGGAGAGAGGGAGTTGTTGTTGAGCCTTTTTAACTTTTTGACTTGGGGTAGTGGGGGGGTGGGAATTGCCTGTGGAAAGGGGGGTAGGGGCTGGGTGGTTGGGGACGTTGAGAGAGAGATAGAGAGAGAGAGAGAGAAAGAGTGGGTGAAGAGTGGGGGTGGTGGGGGGGGAGGAGAAACAGGTCCCTGAGATTTCAAGATGTCTACTACTCCAAGAAATTCCTTTGTTAGAGCAGCCGTCTGCCTGTTCTCGCTGTGGGAATTCATGGCGCAGTGTGGAGAGGCTGAGAGCAACCAGAGCGACGCGTCTGATCCATGCAAGAGAGCATCGGAATGCCAGCCTTTGAAATACAACACATGTCTGGGCTCTGCCCTGCCTTACACCCACACCTCCATCAGCCTGGCTGAGGACTCCAGCACACAAGAGGAGGCTCACAATAAACTCGTGCTGTGGTCAGGTAATGTATATAATATAGATATATATATAACAATAACAATAACCCTTGCATTTGTTATAGCGCTTTTCACGTCTTCGAGACGTTCCAAGGCGCTTCACGGAATATACCGTAAAGTGAATTGACTGTATATTTTGTGGGCGAACGCGGCAGCCAATTGCGCACAGCAATGTCCCACAAATAGTCGTGGATTGAAAATGACCAATTTATTATTGTTTTTGTTTTTTGGAGGGATTATTATTAGGCTCTGTGTGGAGTAAGGAAACTTGCCCAAGGTTTCGCCCTCTGCCTGGAATTGAACTCAGGTCTCTCACTTGCAAAGCGAGTGCTCTAACCACTGAGCTACAGGACTCCACAATATATTGTCCATATATATGTCAGGTATATATATATATATATGTCACCCAGCCCGTTTTTTGCTAACTATATTTCTCAATAGATTTGCTTCAATCTAAATCTAAATGTTATTTTTTTTAGGGGTGTGGGGGGGTTGGGTTGGTTTGTTGGGTTTAAGTAGGCACTTTACTGTGTGGGGTTTTTTTCCCTTAAAAAAAGAAAAGGTGAATGCATTTTTTAAGAAAATAACTACCTAACTAACTACCTAACTAACTAACTACCTAACTACCTAACTAACTACCTAACTAACTAACTACCTAACTAACTAACTAACTAACTAACTGACTAACTAACTAACTAACACACACCAAAAAAAATTGGGTCAAACAGCCAAGGCAGATTGCAATAAGTTTTCTTTATTTCTCTCTCTCCCCGAAAAGCGGTTTAAATCAATGATCTTTATCGGGTGGAGAGAGCTGAAATGGTTTGCTTCGTTGGGGTGAGTGAAAATGGCCCAGTTTTGATGAGATCTCGGGTTGTTGAGGAGCTAAACTAAAGCCTTGGCACAGTCAATGGATTCCCAAGTTAGCTGGCAAAGGGCAGCGAGATGTAACAGTCCTAGTTGGAATGTGGATGCATTTTTATAGCAATAATCTGCAAAGGAAATGGAACAACAACAAATTACATTTGTATAGCGCCTTTCACGTTGGGAGGACGTCCCAAGGCGCTGGACAGTCAGGGATTTGGACCTGAGTTGGAAGTTGGGATCAGGATTTGCGGAAGGTAGGGGTAGGTGGGTGACTGAAGACACGGTTGAAGAGGAGGGTCTTGAGACGAGCCTTGAAAGAGGCAAGTGGGGGAGTGAGGCGAAGGGACTGTGGGATGGAGTTCCAAAGGCAGAGAGACGAAAGGCCCAACTGCCGATGGTGGGGTGGGCCGAGGCGGGGGATATGGAGCAGGCCGGAGCCTGCTGAGCGAAGGGAGAAGACAAGCCTATATGGAGTTAGCAGGTCACAGTGGGAGTCAGGAGCGAGGCTTTGAACGTAAAATTGCATCAAATTAATTTTATTCCCTCATTCAGAATTAGAGGATATGAGTTGGATCGAATATAACCCCTGTGGTCATCGGTCATTATGAATCTTAAGAAAGATATTCTTAGTTTGACTTAGATACTCTTAAGCATGCTTGATGGGTTTCCATATGTGTCAGACACCCGGCTGACCAACAAAAGAAAAAGAAAAAGAAATCAGCTTGATTAGCGAATGCAGCATAAGTTTCAAGTTTCTGTTGAACAACAACAACTTGCATTTATATAGTGTCCTTCATATGGAGCAGGTCTCAGAATGCTTATTGAACAGCCCATTGTTAGTAAAAATTAGGTAAAAGAGGCTTATAGGAAAGATATATAAATGAATGATCCTTACATTGGATAGAGCACCTTATCACATCATGGAATGGACAGTTAAATTGATCCCAATGTGAGGCGAGAGCATTGGCATTGTGAACAAGTAAAGTAAACCAGATCACGTGGCTTCTCTGTGCAACCGAAAAGGAAACAGCAATGGAAAAGGAAATATTGGATTCGGGCATTTTGAAGTCATTCAAGTTGACCCCTGTGTTGGGGCTGTGACAATACTAGTCACTTTTGTGCAGATTCGGACGAGATGTTAAACGGAGGTCCTGTCTGCTTGTTCAGGTGGACGTTCGAACAGAGAAGAGAGTTCTCTTGGTGTCCTGGCTAACAATCCCCCAAATAAAATTGTTCATTTGTTTCATGGCTGTTTGTGGGACTTTGCTGTGCGCAATTGTGCTGCCATGTTTGCCTACAAAAACAGTCACTCAGTTTCACAAATCCTGAGAAATGCTTTGAGATGTCCTTCCGACTTGAAAAGGCGCTACACCAAATGCAAGGATTATTATTGTTCTCTGTTTTGCCATTTTATTAGATTATGGCAGATCATTTAATTCCAATTCCATTTCTGTGGGCTTTGTGCTAAAAAGCCAGTCTTATACTAGAAGATTTACTCTCATTGATGGGAATTGGAATGGTTTGCTGCACTCCTGTTGGCAGTGAGTGGGACCAACTCCTGGTCTTTCATTGCTTGACAATAATAATACAATACAAAATTACAGTTGTATAGTGCCTTTCACATCGGATCCACTAGTTTGCCAATGGCCAATATGCTTGACTCAAATCTTTCCTAGCTAGCACACTTCCCCTCTGTGCTAAGGAGCCAAGCCTTGACTCTTGCCAACCTCCACCTATTACTCTCCGGAATTAGGTCAGCAGGATGCACCCCTCCAGGGAGAGAGTGCGCATTCCAACAACCTATCTGGAATTTCCATGTGTAGGTGGGATGCATGGAAACCTCAGCTTGGTTTCGATCCTCTTAAGCACGGTGATGGGTTTCCGCATGCGTCAGACACCCGGCTGATCAAAACAAAATGGATACGCTATGGAGAGGTACAACTAGACTTATGTTTGTCCACAAAGGTCATTCTTGATTTCAGTCACGTGGTGGGATAGTGAGGAGAGTGGAGGGTGCATTGTACTATAGTCTGCTATAGTTCGGTAGGGAACTTGGACTTGCATATTCATATAGATTTGCAGAGACAGGAAGGAGTGAAGAAAGACCCAGTGGCCTGTCAAGGTCTCCCTCGAGAGAATTCTCCCTCCACAATACTCAAAGGGCTTCACGAGGATTTTACTGCAAATTGTAGTTAAACGTAGCAGCAATGACCCAAATGAAGTGAGTGACAGCAACGATAACTTGCGTTTATAACAAGAGTGGTTAACATGTCGTGATTATATTTAACCACGTCAGGTGCTTAACAATGGCGGGGTTTGAAGTTGAGCCGGGGAGAAAGGGCGGTGATTGTAGGTACGGTCACAGAGGAAAGTCTTCGAATGTGATCTGAAGACAGGCAAAGAGGAGGTGGAGGGATTAGGGCAGGGTGTTGCAGAGGGGTTGGTCATGGTGGCTGAAAGCATAGCCGCCGATGGTGAGATGGAGGAGTCTAGGGACGTGCGGAAAGCCTGAGCTAGCTAAGCAAAAGGGCAGGTAGAGGAGTATGGCGTGAGGAGGTCAGTGTGGTAAAGAGGTGCCAGGGCTTGAAGTAATTTTGGAGTATCAGAATTTAGAAATTCTGCGACATGTAGCCTGTGGAGCCATGTAAGGACTGGGGTGATGGAGGGTGACCAATTGTATCTGCGGAAACGTTGGCCAGGACACCGAGAGAAACTCCCTTCTCTTTTCTGAAAAATCTAAACATTTGCAAGAGAAATTTATACTTGCCGTCGTCTGTACAAATATGGTAACATTTAATTGACTGCAAAAAATTACAAGTCTACAATGTTTTGAGCTGTAAAACACTCATTACAATTGATGGAAGAAGCATATCTCCTGTTGAGTCTGATAGAACAGGTTTAAGGTGGTGAATTATGAGTATTACACAAGATGTGCTTTGATGCGACACTGAAAAATTACTTTTCTGTATTTTGCTACTAATGCACTAGGTAAGCAGCAACAACAACCTGCATTTCTATAGCGCCCCACACAGGGTAGCGTCCCAGAGCGCTTGACAGTGGCAGAGCACGACACGAGCTGGGGGGAGGTAATCATAAACACGGTCAAAGAGGAAGGTCTTCAGACGACCTGAAGGTGGGGAAGGAGGGGGCAGGGCAGAGGAATTGAGGGAGAATGTTCCAGAGTTTCGGGTCGTAGTGGCTGAAAGCGCGGCCACCGATGGTGGAGCAGAGGGCACGAGGGACAAGCAGGGTGGCTAGAGCCAGTCGAGCGGAGGCAACGAGTAGTGGATCGAGGAGTAAGCAGGTCGGAGAGGTAGGGAGGTGCCAGGGCTCGAAGGGATTTAAAGACGAGTGTGAGGATCTTGAAGTCGAAAGCAAGGGTGCCAGTGCTGCTTTTGTCTTGCTGTGAAGTGTTACTTTGGATGGTGTCATTCATGCTGGACTCAATCTTGCTGCTTTCTTCCAGGGCTGAGGAATGCTCCCGGCTGCTGGAATGTCATTCAGCCGCTGCTGTGTGCCATCTATATGCCAAAGTGTGAAAATGGCAAAGTGGACCTGCCCGGTCAGGTGCTGTGTCAGATCACCCGCAGACCCTGTGCCATCGTGCAGAGAGAGAGAGGGTGGCCAGACTTCCTGAAATGTACGGCTGATCGCTTTCCTGAAGGATGCTTGGTAAGTGGGTGAAAGTGGGAAAATATCAGCAAGGAATATAAATCAATGTAATAGATTGTGTTGGTAGTTTTCAGGCATGTTTTAACCACGTCAGGAAGCAGACGTGAAATGTGGCCCTTTCATTACTGATCAATCATAAAACTTGTGCAGGGAATTAACAGCGTAACCCACTACTTCAATGACGTGGCTCTCCAATTCATTGACCACGGAAACTTGGCTCTCCAGTGCATTGGCAAAAGAGTATTGACTCTACAGTGCCATGGGATCTTTAATGTCCATCTGAATAGACAGAAATAGGACCTTGGTTTAACGTCTCACCTGAACGATGGTGGCTCTCCTAAGCTTATTGGCCTGTCATGAGATCGAGAATTTTGTTTTAGAGAGTCATCATTGGGATCAGACATCCATGTTATATTGTTATAATCCATGTTGTGTAGGAGTCGTCTAGCTCAGTGGCTAGAGCACTCGCCTTGCAAGCGAGAGACCTGGGTTTGATTCCCGGCCGGGCGAAACCTTGGGCAAGTTTCCTTAATAATCCCTCAAGAAAAAAAGACAACAATAAAAAATTGGTCACTTCAATCCACGATTGTTTGTTGGATACTGCTGCGCGCAATTGGCTGCCACGTTTCGCCCACAAGTATACAATCAAATCACTTTACAGTATATTGGAACTCCATCCCACAGTCCTTTCACTTCGCTCCTTCCCTCGCCTCCTTCAAGACGCGTCTCAAGACCCTCCTCTTCAACCGCGCCTTCGGTCACTCTCCTACCCCTACACTCTCTGCCTTCCACGTCTCTGATCCCAAACCTCTGCTCGTGTCAAATCCCTGACTGTCCAGGAACTTGGGACATCCTCCCGATGCGAAAGGCTCAATACAAATGTAAATTGTTGTTGTAGTTGCTGTTGTGGTATCTTGAGCTTGTGGGTGTTGGGGGGGGGGGGGGGGGGTGGTGGGGGGGAGATACAAACCTCCAAAAGGAACTAACGAATATTTCCAAATTCTCTGTCTTCCCCTTCAGAACGAAGTCCAGAATATCAAGTTCAACAGCTCTGGTCGTTGCGAGTCACCTCTGGTGAGAACGGAGAATCCGAAGAGCTGGTACGAGGACGTGGAGGGCTGCGGGATCCAGTGTCAGAATCCGCTCTTCACTGACGACGAACACGACGCCATGCACGTCTACATCGCCATCTTTGGCTCCATCACTATATTCTGTACCTTCTTCACACTGGTGAGTGTTCGTCCGATTCAATCATAGAAGATGGCCCTTCGGACCAGCATGTTTGTCCCGGCTCTTTGAAAGAGCGGCCAACTAGTCCCACTTCTGCACTGACTGGGACAAATCAGAAACCGGCCCCAGTGGATAGAGAGATATTGCTAGAAGCAGCCTTAGCGAGACATCAAGGTCCCTGAAATTTCTCATTGTCTCAGGCTTAAGACCACTGCTTTCAAATATAAAATCATGCAGAATTGTGGATTTGGGATTCCAACTCTTCAGTTGGAAACTGTTTTTCTGCAGTTCGTAAAAAAAAAATTAGGATTGAATTTAAGAATTTATCCAATTTCTGCACAATTCTACATTTTGAGACATTCAGAACTCTGGTAACTTCTTGTGGGAAGCGGAGAGATAAAACTATCCACTAGTCCTTCTTGCTTGTCTCTTCTGATAGCTCAGTGTGTTAGCTGAGCCATACACACCATGAAATGGCTTATGGTGACCATTGGACTTGCCAATCTGTAGTTTGCTTTCAGGGACCTTGATGTCTCTCCATGGTCTTGCTCCTCCCCACCTCTGTGACCTGCTAACCCCACATAGACCTGTCTGCTTCCTCCCCTCAACGGGCTCCAGTCTACTTTATGTCCCTCGTCCGGCCCACCCCAGCATCGGCAGTCAAGCCTTCAGCCTCTCGGCCCCCACCCTTTGGAACTCCATTTCACAGTCCCTTTGTCTCGCACCCTTCCCTTGCCTCCTTCAAGGTGTATCTCCAGACCTTCCTTTTCGATCACGCCTTCGGTCATCCTCCAACCCCTATCGTCCCTGCCCTCCACCCCTTCTTATCCCAACCCCCAGCTTGGGTCCACCATCTTCGGACGTCCTCCCAACATGAAAGGCGATATACAAATGTAATGTGTTGTTGTCGTTCTCAGCCTTGGAATCCTGCTTAGTGAAATACTGACTTAACCCTAGCTTATTTTTTCTCGCTATCCAATAACCGTTGAACCAGCACTGCAATGCAATGCAAACTGCTAAGTCTAGAGGCTGTTGTCTTGAGTCCCTCTGTTGTAATGCAGACAGCGGGAAGGGATTGGGGCATTCTCAGTGCCAGACACGGAAAATGTTATGTGATATGATAATTATCACCAGTGATAATTAGCACATTACATCCTACATTAGCCATTATCCATTTGTACCTCTACATTACTAAGTCACATTGCTGCCACAGAGGATGCTTTACTGAAACTAGGAGTTAAGTGTTTAAAGAGAGTTTTCCTCTGTATTTGCCTGACGTGGGAGAGCTCAATGATGTTCTTGCTTTTCTCAAAGCATAAAAGTATCCCGAAATAATAATATTGATAACAATCCTTGAATTTTATATAGTGCCTTATCACACTGTTAGCTAAGGGACTATATCAAATGCAAGGATTATTATCATTAACCTTAACCAAAAGCGCTTCCCTGAATATACTGTAAAGTGAATTGACTGTATATTTTGTGGGCAAAATTGCACTGAATTTCCGTCAGTTAAAACTGAGAGTATAATTTTTTTAGCAGTACTTCTGTCCTTCCTAGACTTATATACAAAGCACGCTGGAGGCCACTGGGTTGGATGGCTGCACTGATTTTTTGTATTGTTGGATTGCATTGTGTTACTTGGCACTGCCTTCTCATATATATTGTACCATGTGCTTTTGCATGTCCTGGTTGCATTGCATTGTGATGCACTTTGGGGTCCAACATTGCAGTTCTTGCAACAGAATTTTGTAAACATTGAATCCTGTTAGTAACTGGATGTGCTGCCCGCTGATCAGGAAGTCGTTCCTGATGGGATCAACGGGATCTCATTCCAGGCATGTTGGAGCGCAGTTCTTGTAGATAAACAAAATGCATAGTTGGTTACCAGGTGGCAATTAAATATTCACGAATCTGATACTCTTGTTGTATGTAGCTTCCTGCTCTTGGCCCAGATTTCTACAGTTTATAATTGATTTCCCCATTTGTGTGTTTCTGTACCCGGTTGATTTTTAGGCCACGTTTGTCGCTGACTGGAAGAATTCTAACCGCTACCCAGCCGTCATCTTGTTCTACGTTAACGCCTGTTTCTTCATTGGAAGCATTGGCTGGCTCGCGCAGTTCATGGACGGGGCAAGGAAGGAGATTGTGTGCAAAGCGGACGGGACAATGCGACTCGGGGAGCCAACGTAAGCTTGCATTGTTTTGTTGATTTGAAAAAAACTGCTGTTTTGTTAGACAGTGGCAAGCTGGTTCAGTGGTAGCGCTCTCGCCTTTGAGTCAGAAGGTTGTGGGTTCAAGCCCCACGTCGGGACTTGGAATCATATCGTCTAAGCTGACACTCCAATGCAGCGCTGTGTGGGTGTGGCGTTGTTGGAGATGCCGTCCTTCGGATGAGATGTTAGACTGAGCTCCCGTCTGCTTGTTCATGTGGACGTTAAAGATCCCGTGCCACTATTTCGAAAGAGTAGGCAGTTTCTCCCAGTGTCCTTGCCAACAATCCTTCCCCAAAATTGGTCACTCACTCACTCACTCCATGGCTGTTTGTGTGACCTTGCTGTATGCAAATTGGCTGCCGTATTTCACCCATAAAATGCTCAGTCAATCCACTTTACAGTATATCCTGTAAAGCACTTTGAGATGTCTCAACGACATAATAAGGCGCTATATCAAATGCAAGGATTATTGCTTATTATTATCTTTTAATCTTATTTCCCTGTTTTGTCAGCATATGCCTTAATATCCTTATTTCTCGAGTATCTGTCTCCTTTTTAAATTCACTTTTAAAGTAGAAGACATGATCAGGCTCAGCTGTGCTAGATACATTCCCCCTCCCCTCCCATTGGTTGAATTGCCGTGTTTCACCCACAAAACACACAGTCACTACACTTTACAGTATATCCTGTGAAGCGCTTTGAGATGCCTCGAAGATATCAGGCGCTAAATCAAATGCAAGGATTATATATATATACAATAAATGTATTTATTATTGCTCATCATCAGTTATAGCCAGGTTTACACTTGAGCAGTAGTAACTTGGATCAGATACCTGAGCATCTGTGAAATAATATCACCCACCGCCCCGATCTTCCTGCTCGTCAAGGGAGACATAAATGTAGTATAAGTCAGTGGGGTAACTAGTATCTGCAGGTTCCCAGCTTACATGTGCTGTGTCTGCATCCCCAAATGCCACCAAGTTGGCATTACACTGTCACTCTGCTCTCTCCAACAGGTCCAATGAAACTCTCTCCTGCGTGATAATATTTGTCATCGTCTACTACTCGCTGATGTCTGGGGTGATCTGGTTTGTGATGCTGACCTACGCTTGGCACATGTCATTCAAGGCTCTCGGCACCACCTACCAACCCCTGTCTGGAAAAACGTCCTACTTCCACTTGGTCACCTGGTCCATCCCATTCATTCTCACCGTCACCATCCTGGCTTTGGCTCAGGTAACCTGTAGATTCTGGGGTGGTCCATATCAACTGTGCACATTTGGGGTGGTTCAGGCTGGGAGGGTACTGTCAGATCAGGGATTGTGGTTAACAAATGAAAGCTCCTAGATTCTCTAGCCATCTTAAATGGAGCTCTGTAGCGTATTGGTTAGAGCACTCGCCTCGCAAGCAAGAGGATCTGATTTCGATTCCCGGACAAGGCGAGACCTTAGGCAAGTTTCCTTGTTCCCCACACCTGTTTGCCTAGCCGTAAAGTAGCAATCCGGTTGTTGGTCGATTGGCGGATCGCTTTTCCTGCAAAAAAAATAATAATTTGATCACGACTGTTTGTGGGACACTGCTGTATGCCATTGGCTGCCACGTTTCTCCCACAAAATATAGAATCAATTCACTTTACAGTGAAGCTCTTTGAGACGTCTCAACGATGTGATAAGGCGCTATATCAAATGCAAAGATTATTGTTAATGCTTTCCCCTCTTGGTTTTGTTCTCTAGGTGGATGGAGACTCTGTGAGTGGGATATGCTTTGTTGGGTATAAAAATTATCACTTCCGAGCGGGATTTGTCCTAGCTCCCATTGGATTGGTGCTGGTGGTTGGTGGCTATTTCCTTATCAGAGGTATGGGAACATTGACATCTACTCCATACAAAGCACAGCGCAAGTCAGTAACAGACTGAGACGAATGCACTGAATGTGTTGCTGTCACAGCCACAGATATATGCACTTCATGTGCTGGCATCACTAAACTGTCCGCTTCCTCTGCTCGGCAGGCACTGGCCTGCTCTACGTCCCCTGCCCAGCCCGCTCCACTATCGATGCTCGGACCTTCACTCTTTTTGAACCCCACCCTCTTGAACTCCATCCCGGAGACCTTCCGCTTGTCCCCTTGTCTCCCTTAAGGCCCATCTCATGACCTTTTCGACTGTGCCTTCGGTCATCTTCATTCCTCCACCACTCCCATTACCCTCCACCCCTCTCTGATCCCAACTCGCAGCTTGGGTGGAAACACATCATTGCTTGAGTCTTGGGTCGTAGTCCAGACGTGAAAGGCGCTATATAAATGCAATTTGTTGTTGTTGGAATAAGATAGAGAATTAGGCACTGTATCTATCGGTATCACATGCAGTGATATGTATTGTATACTTAGAATATTGTTGTAAGCTTCAATATCACACACTTGAGTAATATTGCATATTAAACCCTTATTAATATTAAACCCTGAGCGATTTTGCTCAGACTCTTCCAGCTTCAGGTTTTCAATTTATCTGTCACAAATTTTTCATCCCTGTATTTGCAAACCTGCAGTTGCAATTAATTAATGCAATAAATCCAGTTTGGAAAAATCATGTTTTAGACCCCGTCTGAACTAATGTGCCTTAGCCACAGTCTCTGAAGTATGGAGTGACTGAATGAATGGGAGGAGTGGGGGAGTATTTTGCCACATTAAATTTGAAAGGAAGTGGAATATAGCCGCCCCCCCCCCCCCCCCCCCCCACCGCCAATATCATTATGACCACTTTGAATGGAATTGCTAGTTCTGTACTGTATTCCAAGGTCTCTCTGGATTCACTGTATGATAGACCCAGGCTTTCCTGCGTTTGTTTTATTGATGTCTATGGTTGTTTTTCAGGTGTCATGACCCTGTTTTCAATCAAAAGTAACCACCCTGGGCTCCTGAGTGAGAAGGCGGCCAGTAAGATCAATGAAACAATGCTACGCTTGGGTAAGAGATCTTCAATACTAGAGCAAATCTGAGGGTCACATTATACAGCCATGTGACTGTTCCTGATAAACATGCCATCACTTTATAAAGAAACAACCTACTGGTTAGCCTAGATCAGAGTGGGCCAATCTTATGGCTGCTGAGGGCCAGTTGCCCTATTTGAGAAATGTCCGTGGACTGCATAAGCAATATTTTTGTGTTTTCCTTCCCATAAAATAACATTTCCGGGTTACGGAGGGAGTGGGTGTGCCAGATGAAATGAACGGTGGGGGTGAAATCGACCTGTAGACTGGATGCTGCCGTGGGCTGCCAGTCAGCCCCTCTAGCCTAGATTGGGTACCACAGCATATGAGGCTGGATAAATAATCACAATCGTATCCTTCGGAGGTACTTTGCAGAACCTTTCCTCAGGAAGTGAGTTGGGTAGGGTGAGTGCTTGATAGAGTGTGTTCCATCTGGATTGTGGATCGAACTAGTTCAAAGTCCAAATGGCCTCTTCTCAAATCATTCTGTGTTCTTATTTTTGAGCTTGGAACGGAATTAGTTAGCCTTCATGATATTTTCTTCCCACCATCGCTGTGTCAAGCACTCCGGGACACTATATAAATGCAAGTTGTTGTTGTCACACACCATGGCCTAGTTTTTCCCAATTTCCCTAACCTGTAGTTCGAATATGAACATAATAATTGCGGGACGAAAGAAGACCAAGGTCCACCTAGTTCGCCTTCCACCATCCTGGTAGTCGCGTGCACGTGTCGTGTCGCAAACTATACAATGTATCCCAAGATATTATTTCCTAAAAGAAATGACCTAATTTGCTTTTATAAAGATCAACAATTTCTGCTTCTACCATATCCCTAGGGAGCCTGTTCCATACATTTACTACTCACTCCACTAAAATAGTGTTTCCGCAGAATCCCAATTAAGTGTCCCTGCTGATACCCAGAATGGAAATCAGTTAACTCAGCACAAACCAGGATCTGGCTTGTATTGGCTCAGCTGCTCACTGAGTAGACTCGCTCAGTAGTACGTGTGTTACTGTGTTTCATTGCTGATTTTTATTTTCAGGTATTTTTGGATTCCTTGCTTTCGGATTTGTTTTCATCACGTTTGGCTGCCATTTTTATGACTTCTTTAACCAGGCGGATTGGGAGAGAAGCTTCCGCGAGTATGTCCTGTAAGTGGCTCCTCCTCAATCCCGCTCGGAGTATACAGCAACTCTGTAGCCACATGTGGTTTATCCATGTATAGAGATTAAACTTACCCTTCTCAACTTGGGACAGTGTGGAGAATAATAATAATAATTCTTGCATTTGATATAGCGCCTTATCACGTTGTTGAGACGTCTCAAAGCGCTTCACAGAATATACTGTAAAGTGAATTGACTGTATATTTGTGGGCGAAATGTGGCAGCTAATTGCGCACAGCAGTGTCCCACAAACAGTCATAGATTTATCCCCGGAAAAGCAATCCGCCAATCGACTAAAAACCGGGTTCCACTTACTGCTCGGTAAACCTTTCACATCGGGAGGTAATCTCAAAGCACTGAGCCTTCTAAAGCTCTTGCAAAATGACTTTTTCATCTATGCCTCTTTTGTAATCTTATGAAATAGTTAGAGCTAAGACACAGAACAATTGAGGACTAGATAGTTAAGACACTCTCTTTTCACCTCTTGAACTTGGGTTGAAATACATCCCAGATAGAGGATGAGGGTTACCTCAACCTGGCTGCACTATTTCATATAAAAGCCCTGGGCGTGGAGGGATCATGCATGTATTTGGAAAATGCACGTGTATTATATTGGATAAAGGCAAGAGGGCAACACTGGGTTTCCCTTAATCTCTTCCCCATCCCTGCTATTGAGTATTAAGTTGATGCTCACTGTCCCCTGTGAAGATTGATGCTGTCATGGGATGCTGTAGGTTTGTGTTCTAGGACAGAATCAAACAGACAAAAGGGCCTTACAGTACCTGAAGAAAGAACACTTGAATGAGCTACTGGGAGGTTACCTTTGCGTTATAATCCTTGCATTTGATATAGCGCTTTTCACGTCGGGAGGACGTCCCAAAGCGCTTCACAGAACACACTGTAAAGTGAATTGACTGTATATTTGTGGGCGAACGCGCACAGCAATGTCCCACAAACAGTCGTAGATTGAAAATGACCAATTTATTGTTTTTTTTTTTGGAGGGATTATTATTAGGCGTTGTAATTAAAGACACTAAAATTATACTAACTTTATGTTTAAACCCTTCAGGAACAATCTGTGGTTTAAAAAAAAACTCTCCCTGAATTACCATGGCAACCATTAGTTGGGAATGGATCAGCTGAGGAACTCATAGTACAGTTGTACAGCGCTCCGAGATGTTATCCATTGAGAAGGGCGCTCTATAAATGCAAGTTGTTGTTGTAGTATAACTCCTCAGCTAGCATATTTTTAAGTTTATTAATCAGAATTTACAAAGCTGTTGAAAGAATGCAAATCAGAATGCTGCAGAAAACCCAGTAACCTCTGTCCGAAAAGGTTTTAATTAACTTGCATTGACTACGTAGCATTGCCTCCTTTTAAACATCCATGCGAGCCCAGCCAAATTGTTCTGTTGCTATGGTTGCCATTGTAAATTAGGCAGCTGTGATTACCGTTACCTTCAGTTATTAAAAAAATATATTTTAATATTCCTCATGTAACTCTTCTAAGTTGGGGGAGGCGTGGAGGGGCAGAGAATGATTTGGCTTATTATAATAATAATCCTGCGTTTGATATAAGCACTTTATCGCGTCATTGAGACGTCTCAAAGTGCTCCACTGGATATACTGCAAAGTGGATTGACTGTGTATTTTGTGGGCAAAATGCGGCTTGCATGTACAGTTTATTGCAGGCTTGGGTATACTAGGGAGTTATATCAACAGTTACTTACAAGAAGCAATTTAGAACAAAGTTGAATGTATCTTTTATTGCTTGAATAGCTTTCCAGTTCTTATTGGACTGGCTTTGTATTTCCACGCTCGTCATGTTTGTGCGTGTGTGTGATTGATTGCTTCACACGTGTGTGTGTGTGGATCATATCAGTTCTAGCCAGGCTCCCCTGGCAACCTAATACCGAATGGATCGATTTCAAGATTCTCACACTTGTCTTCAAATCACTTCATGCCCTGCTTATCCCCAATCCACTACCCGCTGTCTCTGCTCGACTGACTCTGGCCTCCTTCTTGTCCCTCGTGCCATCCATTCCACTATTGCTGGTTGCGTTTTCAGCTACTACATCCTGAAACTCTGTAACACTCTCTCTCAATCCCTCCACTTTGCCCCCCCCGCCCCCTCTTTCCCCATCTTCAGGTCACGTCTGAAGACCTTTGTCTTTGACCGTGCTTAAGGTCACCTCCTCCTCCCCGTCTCGGCGTCGTGCTCTGCCACTGCCAAGCTCTGGGGTGCTATCGTGCGTGAGGGACGCTATAAAGATGCAGTTGTTGTGAATTTGACTGTTTGATGTTGTTTCCCAGATGTGAGGCCAATGTGTCTATCGCTGAACAGACCAATACGCCCATTCCTGAATGCAGCATCAAGAATCGGCCTAGCCTGCTGGTGGAGAAGATCAACATTTTTGCCATGTTTGGGACGGGCATTGCTATGAGCACTTGGGTGTGGACCAAAGCTACTGTCCTGATCTGGAAAAGGACCTGGTTCAGGTAGGAGAAGCCAATTTGTAGTCAGATTCAACGCATTGGTGAGCACCAGACACTCACACCTTGTTAATAGAAAAGAGAATTAGAAATGAGTTTTTTTATATAATTTTCTTGACCCTTAATAACCTCTCCCATTTGCTTCCAAAGCCAGACGCCACATTAACAATATAATATAGATCCTTGCATTTGGTATAGCGCCTTATCACGTCTTCTAGACTTCTCAAAGCGCTTCACAGAATATACGTAAAGTGACTATATATTTGTGGGCGAAACATGGCAGCTAATTGTGCACAGCTGTGTCCCATAAACAGTCGTGGACTTATCCCCGAAAAAGCGATCTGCGTATCGACTAAACACCGGATTCCACTTACTGCTAGGTAAACCGAGGCATGTGTAGTAAGGAAACTTGCCCAAAGTTTTGCCCTGCTGAGAATTGAACCCAGGTCCTCTCGCTTGTGAGGCGAGTTCTCTAAGCACTGCAAGACTACAGGACTCTACAAGGCAAGACAAGCTGTTCCAGGCCTTCCAGCTTCTCAGAGTCCTAACAATAGTAGTAGGGAAGAGAACATGACTCTTTTCTCTTCTGCTTTCCATTCCCCCCAGTGCTATCCACTCAGCTCCTACTTACAACAGCCCAGTTGGGATCAGACAAGACCATACAGGAATGAGTTTCCACCATGAATGGCAGAATGCCATGCATTGCTGTTCCAGTGTGCAGAGGAGCCTTGTCGAGTCCTGCAGTGGTTAGAGCACTTACCTCACAAGCGAGAGGACCTGGGTTCGATTCCCGGCAGGGCAAAACTTTGGGCAAGTTTCCTTACTACACATGCCTCAGTTTACCTAGCAGTAATGCACCTCATCAGAGGGAGATGTGAGTTACAGTTATTGTGGTTTATTTTTATTGTGCAATTCCCCTACAATTTATAGTAGCAAACATTTGGAAAGCATAACTTGTTAAAAAAGCGCAGGCAGCATGAATACATGAAAGGTCATTTTTTTTGTGGGCGGTAGGTTCAGCTGCTTATCTGACACATGGGGAAACGTATCTCCTTGCCTAAGAGTATCCAAACCAAACTGAGAATTCCATGCATCCCACCTACACATGGAAATCCCAGAGATAGATTGTTGGAATGGAATGTACTCTCTTCCTGGAGGGACACATCCTGCTCACCTAATTTTAGAAAGCATTAGGCGCAGGTTGGCAAGAGCCAAAGCTTGGAGACCCCAGAGTGTGCGATGGGGCAACTGATGGAGTCTAACCAGCTAAAAGGCGCTGTCTGGCCTACTTGATGGAGCCTTTTGAAGATGAGGCTGATTTGGTGGGCAAGGGAAATGCAATTAGTAAACCTGAGGATTTCGGTAAGTTCCATAGTAACAATGTTACTTCAGAGATCTGGTAACAAAATCGCCCACCCGCCCTCTTAAGAAACCTGTTGCCATGAAGGTGCTGTATTGGTGTTCTTTGTGCTTTCAGAATTATCGGTCGGAGTGATGATGAGCCAAAACGAATAAAGAAAAGTCGAATGATCGCCAAAGCGTTTTCAAAGAGGAAGGAGCTGCTGAAAAACCCAGAGAAGGAGCTCTCGTTCAGTATGCAGACAGTCTCTCATGAAGGACCAGTGGGTCAGTATCTGTTGGAATAAAGCTAGTTAGAGATCAAGTGTTGGTTAACACTTATATTACACATGAAGAATGAGGTACTGGAGGGCTCCAGTTTGTGTTTTCATTAGAGCAGAGAGAAGAAGATAGAATTGGGAGGAACAAAATGTCGATACCCAATTAGGGTCATGGCAAATGGTTAGATTTCAGTAGAATCATAGAGTCCTTTGAAAGAGGCCATTCAGTCCATCGTGCCTGTCCCGGATCTTTGAAAGAGTTATCCAATTAGTCCCACTCCCCTGCTCTTTCTCCATAGCCTTGCAATTTTTTTTATTTTCAAGTAAAAATCCAATTCCCATTTGAAAGTAACCTATAAAGAGAATGTGATCAGTGAGAGAGTTACAGTTCCCACAATAGTTATTGGGCCAGGTTAACATGACAAGAGTGAACGCTGCTTTGATTTAACGTTTTGAATTGCCAATGTACAGTTCATGTTATTAACAATGGTTACAGTATGTACCTTGATGACAGGACAATAATATCCTGATGACTAGAAGCCAGAACTTGCAACTGGCAATGAAACTTACCCAAAGAAAGAAAGACATTCACTGCCAGGCTAATACTGAGTATAAGTCAACGTGGCCCAATGACCCAAAGAATAATGCTCCATTTTATCTAAATAGAGCTGAATGTTCCCATAAGTTTCCAGAATTGAAAGGTAGTATTCTGAATTGTTACATTGAAGTATAGGTTTCTGTCTGAACAGTATGTTAAGTTTACAGGCTTGTGTTTACAGTTTTTGGAGTGACTGACTCATACTGGGGTGTGGTTCCATTGATGCCAAAAACATTTTAGGATCTTATCTTTTCCAGTGTATTTTTCTTCATGCTGGACTTAAGCAACTCTTGGGGGTAAGAATGGGTATGTCTCATTTGAGCCTAATCCTGTGTGTGGCTGATAGCCACATACAGAGGGCAGGGCACTGTAATTAGGAACAGAATCACGGGCGTTATTTATTCTCCCTCCCCCACTCACAGTCCAATTCTAATCACCCCAATATCTGAGATCAGATAGCTCGTCACAGACTAGCGATTTGTTCTGGGGGGCTGAGTTCTACTCTTAAGCTGTGCCTTTAGAAACTAATCTAATAAATATTTAAAAACATGCATAAAAGCCTTGCTTACACGTAGGTGTGATTCCATGTACAAATATTTCTTATTTCAATAAAATTGTAAAATTTTCGCCCACAAATACACACATCAATCCACTTTACTTTATTCTGTGAAGTGCTTTAAGATGTCTCAACGACGTGATAAGGCGATATATCAAATGCAAGGATTATTCTTACAAATATTACTATCTCAATCATGGCTACAAGGCTATGTCAGTAGCTTTGAAAGATTACATTCATTACGAAAGAAAACCTTGTCTTCCCTTCCCTTCAGAAACAAACAAAACAAGTTTCATTTACGTAGCACCCTTCACATTGGGTAGTGTCTCGGAACACTTATCCATGGTAGAACTTGACATTGAGCCGGGGGAGGTGATCGTAAGCACGGTTGAAGAGGAAGGTCTTCACGCGTGATTTGAAAAGGGAAGGAGCGGGTAAGGCCGAGGGATTGAGGGAGAAAGTTCCAAAGTTTCAGGACATAGTGGCTGAAATCATGGCTATCAATGATGGAGCGGAGGGGAGGAGGGTAAAGCAGGAAGCTGGAGTCAGCTGAGCGAAGGTGGCAGGTGGTGGAGTGGGGAGTAAGCAGGTCGGAGAGATCAGGAGGTGCGAATGTGTGAGGGATTTGTAAATGAGTGTGAGGATCTGGAAGTTGATCCATTCTATGATAGGGAGCCAGTGGAGCCTGGTGATGGTGGTATGGAGTTTAGAGTGGGTGATTATACAGGTGGCGGAGACTGAGGGTTTTTAAGTGAAACATTTAGAAGGCAATGTCTGAAAATCATTTTCTGGTACTTCTCTTCTCAGCTGGAATGAACTTAGATCTCAATGAGCCATCTGCTGACCTCTCATCTGCGTGGGCACAACATGTAAACAAAATGGTTGCCCGAAGAGGAGCCATTTTACCTCAGGACATTTCTGTCACTCCAGTAGGGACACCAGGTGAGTGAGTTGGCAACTGTATGATTTAGTTATCCAAAACGAAATCAGCAAAATAATTTCCAATCTTAGCTGTGCTGTGGAGAGATACTGAGCAGAGCCCAAGGACCTCCTTTTCATGTGGGCAGGCAGGGAGGGAACAGGAAGATGGTCATACCTATGCCACAGAATAGTCAAAGTCATCCAGGCTTATTGAGGAAATCATCCACTTATAATGTTTCAACTACTTCCCCAGATACAATGTTCTGACTTCTGAACACTCTAATGGTTTCAAGCAGGGATTGCTTTACCATTGTTCCAACTCTCCTACCTATCCCAGTTCTCAAAGTATTTGTCCGATTTAACTCATTATCTAAAAATACTGAATCTTTTTAATTTGCAGGAACTTTCTTGATAAGCACCATATGTTTCAGAGTACTTCCTTATTTTTGGGGTGGTCTGTCACATCTGGAAACCCATCACCGTGCTTAAGAGTATTCAAATCAAACTGAGAATTCCATGCATCCCACCTACACGTGGAAATCCCAGAGATAAGATTGCTGGAATGGATGGCGCACTCTCTCCCTGGAGGGATGCATCCTGCTTACCTAATTCTGGAAAGTATTAGGTGCAGGTTGGGAAGAGCCAAGGCCTGGGGATGTGTGTGTGATGGGGTAACTGCTGGAGTCTAACCAGTACTTCCTCATAGATAGACATTCTCTTTTAAAGAGATTGGTTTGCAACTGTTTTATTTTAGTGTCACGCTTGTAACTCTCCCTGACTGTGCGCTTGTGTACTTTGGTCAATTTCAGTGCCGCCGGATGAGAACGATCAAAACCTGTGGATCATCGAAGCTGAAATCCCTCCAGATCTCCTGAAGAGAGCTGGGAATAGGAAGAAGAAAAAGAGGAAGAAAGCCATTAGACCTCTGGGACCCGTGGATGAGATACATGACATGGGCTACTTTACAGAGCGGGCATCCAGCACAGTCCCTCGCCTGCCCAAGCTGCCTCGGCAGAAGAGTTTGGTGTCGAGAGGCATTGAGCCTGTTCACATGGAAGATATTTTACCGGGCGCTTTCCCGGAATACGTTACAAACCCAGGGCGTCACGGTGGGAGATTTCCCAAAGAAATGTTCAACGGTTCTTTTGAGTGCAGAAGAAAGTCGTCTTTGAATTTGATAGCAAACCCACTCTCGGTTGAGGAGATATCACAGGACGAAGCTGGATTTGTCCTCGGAGCTCGATTTTGCCCTCCACAGAGACCGTATAATCGTGTGTTTCCCCATTCCTCAACTGATTTGGTCCCCATTAGGGTGCCGGTAGTCAACGTACCATATGTTAACAGACCCCAAGGTAGAAGGGTTGGCTTAGCACCAGTACACTCAAGAACAAACCTTGTGGACACAGAGTTAATGGATGCGGACTCTGATTTTTGAAGTTTGCACCCTTATTGATGTTGTATAGGCTTCAATTGCAGGGGCAGCAGCAACACTAAGCTGCAACTGAGGACTTCAACAAATCACATTCCATTTTCCTGCCGCACTCGCTGGTTAAATGTATTCATGGAAACTCTGGGAACTCGTACAAACAGTGACCGTCACAAAGAGGTTCACGCACTTGGAGACACTTGTTGAAAGGTCACTTTACATTTCATTGCCTAAACGTCCAGAGTGGGCAGCGGTAATAAGCAGTCCTAAAAGACAATGTGGCAAAGTCATTGGTGCCTGTACTGTATTATTACTGTTAACGTGAATGCATTTGCATGAGGTCTTCTCGTCCGAGTAGTGAATCGGTTCAGGAATGATTGTAAGTGGCAAGATGCTTCAGGTTACTGCCCTGTCTTACCATTCCTCCAACCAGAGAGTGGGGAAACTGATTATAAAATGAAGTGAGCTTTGACAATAATGTAATGCAAATCCACTTTCGGTTGCAATGCATTGTTGTGGCGTTTCGCCCTCAAAAAATATAAAGTCAATTCACTTCACAGTATATTCTGTGAAGCTCTTTGAGACGTCTCAACGAAGTGATAAGGCGCGATATCAAATGCAAGGATTATTATTATTATTATTGATGCTTTTTGATAATGGCTCGTCACCTGTGTTGGATTTTATATACATCCAACCAGTTATACACTATCACTACACTAAAGATCGTCACCCTTCAGTGGCCTAACTTCAGGGAGCTCATTGATCTGAACTTGCATTGCCACCCTTACAGAATTAACAGGCCAAGCTTTTTAGCCATTCAAAGTTTCAAGTTCAAATGTTTGTTTCACTTAGTGCAACAAAAGCTCTTCCATTGTTCCATCATGTTGTGTAAAATGAGTGTGCAGAATATGAAGCTGTTGAGGAGACTCTTACACGTTTGGTTATTTTTTTTTAAAATGGCAGTAAGTGATAAAATACCATATTAGGACTCGGAATCCATCCATCCTAAAGACAGAAAGGACGTCCGTTTCAGTAGAACTTCAAAGTGGAATTGGAGTCATTGTGCCAACAGGTTGGAAGCACTATTGGAGAACAACACTGATAACCATGGCCATAATATTACATACTAACCCATTACAGAATATTGCATAGAACTGATGCTGTTTATTTGTTGTGTGTGAATACGGTTAGATCCCGACAAGATTCTACTGTATTATTCTAATGTTTATTGTCAGGCGGGTTGCCTCTGGATCTTACTGAGTGCATGTTATGTGCACCTCCTGCCATTCAAACATAAGCATTCTGTCTTCAGAAGATGTGGTTGTGGGGGGCATTGTCCTTTGTGGTCAGGATGACCAAAGTCTGACATCCCAACATTGCTTAGCCATACTCCATTTAATTTTCTTGCTATGTCCTCCACATTATATACTTTAAAGCATGTTCTGGATGTCCTCTTGGGCTGAACTGCTGACCAATATGACTATGTCACAAAAACAACCTACTTGTGAAGCAATGAGGGCATCCATGCCTGATACAAATCCCCTGTAGCCTTTTCTAGCCTGGAGACGTTGGTTGTCCTTTCCCATGCTGATTTTATGAAACCGTTGTGTTTTGTGGACCAAAATGGTTCAAGAGCATCAATAATGGACAACTAAAAATGAGGAAAATGGACCGTGTGGTACTGTGGACATCAGAAAACCACAGCAGGAATGGATGCCACTCTGGTCTGCTAGAGAATTACTCTAGAAAGAGATGAGAAAATAAGGACAATCGCTGATCAGACTGCTTTGTGTTGTAAAATTTACTTTGTGCATAAATAGTTAACAGTCCATTTAACAAAGAATACTGCAGTGCAGTATTTTTCATATATGGACGTGAGCGTTTATTTTAACCAGAATATGTATTAAGATGTGGCTAATTCTGAGAGAATTGTATGGATAAGGGACAATGCTTTTTTTTAAGTGAAAAAAAACCTTTGTATCATCTAAACAAAAGGAGTATAACATTTATGTAAGAATGAGAAGAAAGTATTACTGTGAAGGGTAATGGAAAATGTCAAAATGAGAGATTGCTTTGGGCAATAACTTAGGTATTGAATTAATGTGACACAGAATTCTAGATAACTATTGTATACTACACAAAGGATATTCAGGTCCACAAGCTATTGCGTTCCCTCCTCCCACCAAAAGGTGGCACTCTCGACTCCTGTTGATATTTGTCCCTTTTGTTTTGGTCAGCCGGATGTCCTGATGCGTAGGGAAACCCATCACCGTGCTTAAGAGTATCCAAACCAAACCGAGAATTCCATGCATCCCACCTACACGTGGAAATTCCAGAGATAGGTTGTTCGAATGGAACGCGCACTCGCTGCCTGGAGGGATGCACTCCTGCTTATCTAATTCCTGAAATTATTAGGCCCAGATTGGCAAGAGCCAGGTTTGATCCTATTGATAAAGATCTGCTCATTGACACTGATTGAGTGTTTATGCTCAACAAGATGATAGGGGCCAGTACTGAGGAATGGATCATGTTCCAATCTTTTTCTCACATTGTCATTGTCAGCCTTTCTATGTGTCAGATACAACGTGAGCCAATGCAGAGCCCCTCCTCCACCCAACTTCAGAAGCACTTCTGATCTACAAGTGTGACAGTCTCATTTCCTACACGAGCCACCTTTGTGCATCTGTCAATTTGCTCCAAATTATGAATAGGTTTATGATATGAAATTGACTCCTCTTGGAAATAGGTTAAAATGGAGTGACAACAATTTGAGAAAGAAAGAGAGACTTAGCAGTCCAATTTCTTTCTACGGTGAAGCTCCCTCCTGCTCCCTCCTGCTTGTTCAACAATAACCTTCTTCAGTCTCTGAATCGTGTCCCCTGTTGCCAGAGCAGCGCCTGTGAGAGAATTGTCACTCAGCTGAAAGAGGGACTTCCAACACCAGTTAGGGAAAAGGGGGTAAAGAAACCTGCCCATTTCTAGTGGTTCCATTCATTCCAATTACTCTTTCTTTAATGCCAACTCATATCATGCTTAGTGTTTGCCCGAGAGCAAAATCATGCAGTACAACTGCATCATCCTGTCGTTCTCTGACATGGTGTACTAGCAGCTGTAGCAATTGAACTCCTGGTAGATTCCCAATTGGTTACCAGTAAAATCCCAACTAATATTTGGGACTGGAATTGTCTTTTCAGGTCGCAACCTCAACAGGTAGTGTCCAGGATCATGTAGTGGTTGCAAGTTCTTAATGGTACAACAACAACAACAAATTATATGTGCATAGCATCTTTCACGTCTGGAGGATGTCCCAAGGCGCGGGGCGGTCAGGGATTTGGACCAGAGCTGGGGGTTGGCATCAGGAGGGGTGGAGGTATTAATTATATAGGTGGAGGTACAGGAATTACATAGGACCCGAGCACCAAAGGCACCAGTGTCAGTTTTATCAATAAGAAATGCAAGAAGCCGATCACCTTCTGAACAAGACATTAAAGTTCTGGGCGTGATCTTTATCAGAATCCATACGTTGATTTGTTTTTTCAGATGCTAATCCTCCTGCTTGGTGGATTGCTCTTAAACATGACTGTGAGTTTCCATATGTCTCAAATACTCGGCCGACCAAATAAGTAAATGCAGTCCATTTCAGTCACACTTCAACACCATCTGTTAATTTCTTACAGTATTAAAACCTAGTACATAAAGGCACAGCCCAGTGTAGCAAAATGCCATACAAAACAGTTCACCAGTTATCTCAGCATGAGTTATAAAGCGCTCCGAAATGCTGCCGTGTGTGAAGGGTGGTATATAAATGCAAGTTTTGTTATCATCTGATCTCAGGCTGAGTGGAGAGGGAGGTGTTGCAATTAGCTTTTACATCCCTGGGAAAATCTGCTGCTGATCACAAGCAAACTTCTCATGCTGGTATGTGCTTGGATGTTGCTGTGTAGTTTTGGGACTCGGATGTATTAATTACCCTCTTGACACTCACTGTCTGGGCTCATACATGAACAATAGTCAATAGTCACTTCGGTGCAGAGGACTGCTCGAACTCATGGAATTGAACCCAGCATGAGTCCAATACTTCAGCAGAGTACGTGGGGAGAAAATTGGAAAGAAAAAACATGGGTCAAAGAGGGAAGAATGCTTTCTAATGGCTTCAAAAGAGGAAAAGCACCTTGTCTGATGACGAGGCTAAAATTCGCCTACACAAATATAGTCACTACGCTACACTTTTACATTGAATCCTGTAAAGGACTTTTGAGACATTCTCCCTTTGTAAAAGGTCCTATTCAAATGCATGGATTATTATTATTATCTAAAGGTGATCAAGGCTTTTGTATGAGCCCAGGGAAAAGGCCCTCAAGTTAGCTTCCCAGAACTGATTTACAAAATTTCGTCCGTTTCTGTAAATGAGATACATACCTCCTCCCAATTAATGGCCTGGTTCTGTCAGATGTTGTAGACTGATATTTTTTTATATAAATGGTTATTTTTGTACCACATATATAGCCATTTAAGCCTATTGTAATGGTTGTGTATATAGGTCTAGAGTGGTTTCATATTGTTTAGGGGAAAAGAGGAACAGTTTGAATTTTTTTCTTAAAACTTTAGAGCGTTGTGTATTTGATAACATGTTTTGGCTTTTCTTTCAATAAAATGTTTTTAAATTAGTGAGTGTTTTGTTTTACTTTAGTGTTTCATTTCCTTAAGGTGAGATTGGTGACTCTGGAGAAACACTTGCTCAACAATTTCGGTCTAGATTACTAGAATCATTAAAATAGAATTAATCACTCACTCTATGGCTGTTTGTAGGACACTGCTGTGTGCAAATTGGCTGCCTTGTTCACACATAAAATACACAAGGTCAGACCACTTTACACTATATCCTGCGAAGCGCTTTGAATTGTCTTGACAATGTAATCAGGCACTTCATCAAATGCAAGGATTATTAGTATTATTATTTAATTTTATATAGTGTTTTATCACTTCATGAAGATGTCTTATAGCACTTCACAGTTTATACTGTAAAGTGAATTGACTATATCCTGTGGGTGAAACCCCAATTGCTCATAGAGTGAGGGACCAAATTACTATTATTTTTTATATATATTATGTTACAAGCACTCATAGGGACTCGTTTTGACTGTGAAGTGCAGGAAGAGCCTTTGAGCAAACCTGATTTAATATTAATGTTGAAACGAGTAAACAGGAATCACCAATGCGTGATTCTTCCATGTTTAGTGCAGCTCTGACAAACTGGAGTTAAAGACTAGCAAACAGGATGAGGCAAATGTTCTCCCCACTTGGCTTCCATTAATCCTGAAAGTCAAAATCCTATTCATGGGTACAGAAGTCCTAGAATAACAATCAGCGGGAAAACACTGTTGCAAAGGCAATTTGTGTGGATTTAGCTGGTTAAACTAGCAGTACCCTCATTGCACACTGTGGGATCCTTAAGCCTTTGCTCTTGCCACCCTGCTGCTAATACTTTCCAGGATTAGGTGAGCACCAGTGAGAAAATGAGCACTCCATCCCAGACAAAGGCAAA